CCGGACATCTGCAATAAATACACATTCCAGTACATGCACAAGCTGAGTATCTCATGCATTGTCCGCGCAGGATCTTTCCACATCCGGCGACCTAATGTCCTCCACCCAAGATTTCGTTCGGAAACTCATCGTAGAGGAGTTTAGTGCACAAATGCTCAAAATAGCCATTATGCAGAAATGAAAAGCTCTACTGCGATTGGTGACACATGAGAATGGGGTTCAAACATTCGTGGCATTCCTTTGCAGGAGTGTCTTCTTCATTGCTGTTCTTTCCGACTCAGTTCCAAAATGATATTCAGATACAAAAATTATTTGTTTTCTTAATTGTATCAATTTTTAATGAGTTATTATTTTTAGAGCTCAAGCAGAAGAATCTTTATTTTCCCAAGTTCTGACTAGCAAGATGACTGCCAAAGTTAAAAATCGGCTTTTGCCGCAAGTTCAGTGTGCTTGCGTCTCCTGCATTTCACTACGTCTATTTCGACTACGTGAATTTCACATAAAAATTCAGCTGCTGCTGTAAAGCTGTGTTCATTCCCTCGTGACTAATAGTGTGATACTGTGAGCTTCCTTCAGTCCTGAGTCCCTTCATGTAATTCTTTTGAATATGGTCTAGCGATCCTTTGAAAGTTGAATCCTTTACATTTTGGCAGTGGCTAACACTTTTACTGACTTCGCTCCTGATTCTCTCAGAGTTTTATGTGTCATTCTGTGGTTCCCAATATATTCACTGCTGCTTTTCCAGGTGCGGGATGAACGGGGTTCTGGATGATGAAAAGGACGATGAAATCGAGCATCTCAAAGAAATCGGAACTCTTGCACTTTTAAACGAAACCGATCAAATTTTGGAACTACAGACTATTCTCAAGGACAAGTGAGTCAGTTACATATTGCTTACATTTTTTGACTCTCTTCTTTTGTTATTTCTCGTATTATGCGCTTCTTAATAGTAGTCTAACAGTCCAAAACTTTTTTGTTCTGACTTTGTGTCTATAAATCTAACATAAGAGACATAGTTTAGGAACACCGAGCACTCGGATTTCGTGTTTTATGCTGATCGCCTCATGCGCTTAGTCATCGAAGAAGCTCTTAACAAGCTACCATACATGGAAGTTACGGTCACTACACCGACCCATTGTCACTACAAAGGTTATTTCTTCACTTTGTTCCCTCTCATGTAAGAAACTAATGCCAAATTGCCCTAGGTTTTACTGATTTTTTGCTTTTCGTTACTCTCTCTCCATGCAGGCATACAATTCATGCGCGGCAATTGCGGAGTGAGTCTTTGTCGTAGCGGTGAAGCGATGGAATTTGCGCTGAGGCAGTGCTGCCGATCGATTCGTATCTGCAAAATGCTAATCGGTAATGAATTACTTTTTCAAATGACCACCAATGCAAGGCGGATTTCTTAAGTTCTGTTTAAGGTTCTTTTCTAGGGGACGAGCAGCGAGTGTTATATGCTCGGCTGATTCCAGATATGTCTCATCGTCGTGTTCTGCTGCTTTATCCGGTTGTAAGGTACGGCATTTAGGAAATTTATGGTTTTTGATTTAGTATAGGAATATTCCTCACACTCTCCAACATGTCGCAATATTCAATTTTTGTTTATTTAATAATGCTCTGGCATTTCAAGAAAATCGCTCAAGTGTTGGATGGCTAGCCTTCTATAAACTGATCTCGCTAATCAGTTAGCAGTCATTTTGCTTGTCTAGTCTTAACATTTCCAGAACTTTATCGAATACTAGCTGGCATACCCGGCGCCGCCCGGTCCAATCAAAACACTA